TGCGTGAAAAATGTCTCCTCTATGAATGGGTAACCCCTCACCCATCCATCTCTGAAATGCGGACCCAACCGGTTCTCCTTTGGCAAACCTCTCAATTCTCAAAGACAAACACTTGTTATCTTCTTGATTCGACTCTGAACTCTTCTCCGGAGGGGTATTATCTGATTGGGGGCAAAGGAATCTGAAACCGGAAGTACTATTATTGAGAGATGAAGATGTGAGCAGAAGTGTTCGACGTATTGTCTGAAAGAGTATTCTGTGCCCCTGCAAAACCAGGGCCTGCATGCTTTGCGTTTAGGAGGGAAGAGGAGAAAACGTCCTCAACCTTGGACTATAAAGGACCCATACTCTAAGCCCATCGTTCAACTATTGGGCTGACGGCTGAGGATCTTTAGTGAAGATTAAGAGTCCAGCCCATGGTTGAAAAATTGTTCTCCAAAAATTTTGATTCAACAATTCTCCGTTTATCAATCATTGTAATCAGCCCATTTTGATTACTCTTTACCAATTATCATCTCATTTATATGCTTCTTCTTCTTCTTCTTCAATTAAGTTTTGATATTTAAAAATCACATTAAATTTTGATTAATTCAAAATTAAGTCACATCTGATTCATAAGAGGAGAAGCTCTCCCAGTATTTACTTCTACATTCATAAAAGTCAAATTTAAAATTTTATTTAAAAGTAATCGAATTCTTTCTACTTAAACCAACAAATAATTAGTATTTCATTTATATGCCATGCCACTTAATGAACCATTTACATTGTTGGCAATAAGTTTTGGAAAAAGTGAAAATTAGAAGCATGACATTTTAATGTTAAAAATATTTGTAAAATTATTTAAATATTTTAAATAATTTTTTTCATATATTAATTTGTTAATAATGTTTAAATCTTTTTATTACTATTTATGATATTTTAATTATTAAAATGTGTCAATTTTCTTCTTTCTACTGTAGTAACTTTTGCTGTGAATTATTTTGTTTTGCGTCTGAGTTGGAATTCACATACATGTATCTTTTGGCTCATCATGGTCCCGGTACCATACTTTCTCCATTGGAATGCGGTGATGAGTGACTTTCTCTATTGATTTGTCTTCATCATTTATTAACTACACTAACGTGACAATTACCTTTAACCTAACCTCTCTTTTTAACCAAACTTTTCTTTTAAAAGTAATAGCTTTCGAGAAAACCAAAGTGTACGTTTTGGAGAAAATCGTGCTTTATGGTTCATCTCCAACAAACGATATTTTTTATTTTATTTTATTTTAAATTGTATAATAAAAAATAATATTTTATCATAGGATAATAATTTTAATTTAAATTGTTGGATATGGGTTTTGCAAAACCAAAATCTTCCTTCCTACCATTGCATATTGTGGTGGAGAATGAGGGCTCGAAGACATTCTGTGGAGTGCACTAGTAAAGTTTTGGTTATGGTTATGTTTGTAATTAAATTTGTTAAGTCATAAAAATTATTAGATTTTTATTTTAATTTGATTATTAAAAATAATTCATAATTAATAGTTATTATTTGATAAATTAAAATTAGTTTAAAATATATATTTTTAAATATTATAATTAATTATTTAAGAAAAAATTATAAATTAATAAAATTATAATTAAAATTTGTGATTTTAACAAAATTTTTGTCTTAAGATGTAATGTTATTCTTTGTTATCTAAAAAAAAATCAACATTTTTGCAATTTTTTAATCCATTTTACTCACATATTTAGGATTTAGAAAATTCAATTAAGAAGAAGTTTAAAACTCTACTACTAACTTTGTTGGGATGCAAATTTCTCTCTTGAAAGTATGAATGGATGATTGCGGAAGAAAATTGTACTAACTTATTAGAGTAAACTTTGAAAAAAAGGAAGCGACAAAACGATGGTTGGAATGACGAAGAAGAAAGCTAGATTTTTAATTTTTAAGTAATTTTTTGAAGCTGTTAATGGCGTCAAGTAATTCAACGTGCTGTGCAATTTACTAATTTTAATTTTAAGTGGGTGGGAAAAAAGGGGGTGGAACTAAAATTGTTAAAATTGTAGGGATTACACCAAACTCTAAAACGTATGGGGTTCTTGTTTAGTTCACACAAATCTCTCATTAAAATGCACCAAAAAAACCAACAAATCATTAGTATGAAGGAAAGAAATTTAATTTTTCTTAATAAAAATTTTAAGTTTAAAATTTTTAGATGAAAAAATATACATTAAAAGAGTTTTTTTTAATGAGATTTAATTTAATTTAATTTTAAATTAATGGAAACTTATTTGAATTTCAAATACGTACTAAAATAATCACCAGAAAATGCAGAAATTTGAAAAGAAATAAGACGGTTTACAACATAACCAAAGGAGACGTATTAGACTAGAGATTTAATCAAATACAAAGCAGCTTCTGTTTCAAACAAAGCAGCGACTCAATACAGGACATAAACAGAGATCCAAGCCAAATTCATGGCTGTCTTATTTATAGCAAGCTGTTTCATAGATAATACATAGCTAGGTAGACCCAAACGATACCATATTTTTAGTCTTACATCAAGTTGTTACACATGACTGACGCTGCTGCTTTGTTTTTGGCATGCTCATGCCCGTCTTCTTCATTAGCATCTGCAAGGATCGCAGCTGCAGTTTGATCCGCACTTGCATGCATGCCCACCCTCGGAAGCCATCTCGGACTGCTCAGAAACCCTGAAACAAAAAGTCATAATTTCAGTTTTTCTCCCCCCATAAAGGAACAAAGAAAAAAGAAAAAAAAAAAAAAAGGAGAATTAATTACTCCAATATATGTTCACTCACATCTTCACTGGAGCAACTCCAGCGACGGTGGTTACAGTGGTGGTCTTCTCGGCTATATCAGGGTACATGCCGCAGCTGCAGATTTTCCCCAGAAAATGAAAAAAAGGGGGATCAATTTTGAGCAGAAAAGGAGTTAAAAATCTCTTTGAATTTGGAATTTGAAACTGTTTGATGAAATACTTAAGAGAAGGGATGAAACGAAAAGATAGAAAATTTACCTGCATCCACTGCCGCACTTGCAGCCGGATCCGCAGCCACATCCACCAGAAGACATTTTTGCAGGTGAAGAATATGTGAAGAGGAAATTGAAAGGAATCTAATGTGAATTGATCACCGAGTGAGTTTTCTTGTGGAACTTTGACCGCAATTTAAAGGATAGGGAAGGTGTGGAGTGTGGGCAACCGCCGTTCACGTGGACAAATCTCTGCCGCTTGCGTCGCTGACAGTATTTTTGTGACCTGCCCCACACATTAATTAACCATTAACCAATAATCTCTCATAGGCGACTCTTAGAAAATGACTTTTCTATTTTTAATATTATTGTTGTTGTCAGCAATTAATCGTCTTAATTTAATTATATATATATATTTATGTTTAAATATCAATTAACGCATGGGTAGCATGTTATCATTCATTTGTTTTTATATTTAGATATTTAGGTAGTTGTCAGCAATTAATCGTCTTAATTTAATTATATATATATATTTATGTTTAAATAATATATTTTT